TTTTTTTTCCTTTTTGTCTTTTTTTCGTGACCGGTAACGGGATTGCAACCCTCGGTGTCATACCCGCACCACGCTCAACCAGTGAGTAGACCGGTCTCTATATGGGATCCGAACCCTCAGTGGGAGCGCCGCCACGCTCCCAAGCGCCGCACTCTACCGAGTGCGCCACCGGGCCGGCCCTTCTTTGGTTAAGTTCTGATCAGATCTTTTGCCTATATATTAAATTGGTGGGGTTTTTTGTTTGTTTCTTATTATGGAGTTTTAAGAATTCTTTGTATATTCTGGATACAAATCCTTCATCAGATCTGTGTTTTGCGATTTCTTCTCTGGCTAGGCTGCCTTTGAGCGCCCCCCTGCATATTTCTAGCTGAGGCCCTGGGTCCTGCTCCTCTTCATCAGGGTCTCAGCTCCTACTTCACTTCCTCAGAGAGCGGCTTTCCACCAGCCACCAAACCTCCCTACACCCTGCTTTACTTTCTTCCTGTACTTTATCTCTGGCTGATGTCATTCTGTTTCTTAGGTGAACGTGTGCTTATATTACATCTTACCCTGAGAGGGCAGTCTTGTCTACTGCTACATCCCAGCACCTGGGGCAGGTGTGCCAGGTGCAGAATGGCTCAGTTAGTATCAGATGAATGAATGAGTGGGTGATGTGTTCTTTCTTACCTACAAGAATGGACAATCTAATTGTGTGGTTGAATTGCACACCAGAGAGTATGAACAAAGTTCGGCAATGTATACAGATCACTGCTGCTCAAATGTAATGGTCTGTTAAATAAGGAATGCAGGTAAGCTGTACCTGGGTCAGGAGTTTAATCAGAGCCCATTTTCCCCTCTTTCCTAAGAAAATAAGATGTTCATTACNGTCAGGAGTTTAATCAGAGCCCATTTTCCCCTCTTTCCTAAGAAAATAAGATGTTCATTACCTTGAAACATTGTATATATCATGGTTTGTCCTTAGCTTTACAAACACAATATAAGTTGACTGTAACAACACTGAAGTAAATCTCCACTTTTAAAACCAGTCTACATGCTGAGAAGATTGGAAGGCATAGTCCTTCGTCTTCAAGTCAGTTATTTACCCAAACAAAGTGCCCTTCTTGTGCAGAAATGCAAGTTCATGCTTGACATATGTCTGATGACTGCGTTGCGCACCGCCAGCAGCAGGATTGCCCGGTGACAGCAGGTTCCGGAGTCCTTTCTACTTTGAAATTATCTCTCTGTTAAAATGTTTTCCTTGGTAATGCTTGAATGCAAAGGGAAGCACCTCTTCATGATGGTGAATGGCTTGCCAGATCTTTTAACACAAGAGAATAGAGCTGGCTTTTTAAAAAAAAAAAAAACACAAAACCTGTTTTAGAAATAAGTAGAGTTCCCTTTGAATAAATATCATTGTAATGTAGATTGCCTTGTACATAATGCCCTTCTGTGTTTTCATGTTCTGCCTGAGAGCTCATACCTGCTCTGCTCTGCTTGTATATTTCATCCAAGTATTTGGAGAGATGGGAGGCTTGAATGGAAGTTGTCAGAAATGTTACATTGTGCAGACTAATAAAAAGGAACAGACTGGAAAAAC